GGGCACATTTTGAGACTATCCAATTATCCCCTCTCTCTTCTCCCTCACTCTCGCGCTCCGTCACTCGGTATGTCTCAGCTCTGTCCTTGACCAGCGATGTTACACCATGTGCCAGTGCAGATAATCTTTAATAATTATTGTATAATTCGCCAATCTTGTCACACTGACTGTTCGACTGTACAGGGCGCCACTGAAAGCCCCTCACCCTCTATGTCTAGCATTTCTGTAACGCACGTCCAGTCACAGTTGCGGCATTTAAATGTACAAAATGATAATTATCATTTATTGCACATGGAGATAAAAAGTATTTTACAATATTCACAAGTCTGTTCAAGCTGTTTAAACGGCGGTTCTCTTTTGGACAAGAACATGTTAACAGATTTAGGTCATTTTTACTTTGCAAATTTTCTGCATTTCTTTACAGCAATTATTTAATAAAACTAAATAATTCCTGCTAGTGTTTCACAGTAAGAGCCCTTCAGAGAAGTAAAGACATTGGGCTCTTGTCCCTTATAACTTGCCAAGAAAATATCTAATGAAATCTTAGTCAAAACTGAGTTATTAAAAGGATACATGTGATGATCTTCTTTATTTTTGTTACAGTCAACAACCAACACTATATTTATTCTAGTAACAAGTACTTTGAGGGCATCCAAAGCCAGATCTATCTTATTTCGCTGTGTCACAAAGCTCCATTGTTTATCCAAAAACTTTCAGCAAACCACACATTTGTACTGGGGAACTTTTCCTTTCATTGCCACAAACACAGACACTGTTGAGTACTTTCTTTTGACCAAATTCTACATAGACATTCCTAACTTGAGCACCCAGCGTGTATTTATCTGCCAACAAGTCCCCAACAAATACACTGTTCGTTACAGACAAATGTTTACAATAACTCTGCTTCCAAAAAGGTGATTACACTGTGTGAAACAAAATTCAATGATTTGCAAATGATTAAAAGCCTGTAAGTGATTTAAAAAAGTAAAAACTAAACTAAACTGAGAAATGCTATTGTCAGTGATGTTCATTTTGAATTTTATGCCAGCAAAAATGCTTTAAAAACGTAGGACCAGGGCATGTTTACCACTGTGTTGCATCATCTTTTTTTTTTTTTCAAATGTTTTGTCAGCCAAATGTTTTCCAATTTCCAGCTAATGCAGAATATCAGCTCCTTAACAGCTGTCAATGGTTCTGCTTTTCAACAACCTGTTTTGGAGCTAAATATTACACATTTCCCTCCACTACGTTTATGCAATGGTTGTATTTACTCATTACCTTGGAGATTTAGGTTTCCCATACAAAAAGTGACAAAGACACATTTAAATAAGCTGCAGTTTTACTTAATTGCTATTTTGTGCAGCTATTAGCAGTACACTATATAACGTATTCTGAAAAAGGTTCTGAGGGTTTTTATTTTTAATACTGAAATGACTCATGCTACTCTACTGGTAATGTGAAATAGCAAGAATTCATGGAAAATGTCAGGGGCAAACGACACGGATACCTGCCCAACAAGGTGGTGTTTAATGCAGTACATCTGTGGAAGGGGACAGTTGAGGACATATGCTGGCGAATGTTGCTTAATGCCTCCTGGCTTATTAAGAGAATGGGTGGCGGGCAGTATAAAGGCCGGTATAGGCAGGAAGCTCCCATGTAGGACACACACACACACACACACACACACACACACACACACACAC